ACATTTTTATTATTTGTGTTTGATAAGAAAAAAACTAACATTTGAATAGTTGGGCAACCTGAAGTGGGAAGGGGCTCGTATATTAATCCCTGGAAAGTACAGATCCGACCTTCTCATATAACAAATTTGTATCTTCTCATCTCTGATGGGTTCCGGCTTGTGATCAAGATTATGATCCCTCAAAGCTAGTATACTTTGTAACTTTCTTATATCGATATCAGTTGCTTCCAGTGCCAGGTCAAGCAATTGTATCTTAATAATGAGTGTTAAAACTCATAAAAGATCGTATGGTTATTGGGAGGAGGTCTAGATCATCTCAATAACCTTATTTTTATCCAACACCAAGACTAGCTTATCTACTTAAATACCTGCGAAGCGAAAAAGAGCTCGTCCAATATTTACATATAACTTAAAAAATAGAAATGTTACTAAAGAAAAAGGTATAGCTACAAGGAATCTGAACAAGGTACACTGATAAAACTCAGGGACAAAAGATGAATATTCTTCAAATACACTATTGTTTCCCTAATATTCTATCCCACATGCAGTTTTGATGTTTAGCACCTGACCTGACATAAATATGTTAAGGAGCGCAATCTAGGTAAGGCTGTATCCCCTCCGGAGATGACTTTTTGTGATCTTGAGATACCCTTGTTTTGGGGCTGATGTTTATATGAATATTTCGTGCCATTTTTGGAATTAATTCCTGATCTACATATAAATATTGCCATTATTTTTTTAATTACTCTGTATTTACCGCCTTTTCACTATCTGTCCAAAGAAGGAAATATAAGGTTAGTTCATTCAAAAACATATTCATCTCCTATGATATATTTCATTACCTCTATTTAAAAAAAACTGACGAGGCAACTTGGTGAAATAATTGTAGACAATGTGTGATAATGAATTAGAAGCAACCAAATTGGAAACAACGCACCGTTTTTCTATCGAGCCTTGCTAGACACATGAAGGTCAGGTTTCAAAATCGGCAGATAAAATCATTTCACCGTTGCGCTGTCTATAGAAAAACTTTCACGTAGTTACGCGTTTCGTGTATATCATTTTAATAATGGTATTGTAGCGAAATGGTAAAAATTTACCATTTTCTGTTAAGGCATCCATCAATTATTTTGACTTGTATTCAATTAAGTATTCATGCGGTTATTCTAATTGGTGTTCTGAGTAACGAGTAAAAGGTGTAATATTCGGAGATAATGACAACGAGAAGGAAGTGGAATTAACCACAAAGTGTAATCATAGTGAATCCCCTATTTGAAAAATTTCTTTAAGAATGCGGTATGCCAACTTTTGGTTTTTTGATAACTAAAAAATACGCATTGCCTGGAAGATATTTTTGCGTTAAACGTCGGCAACCTTTTGATCATGTCCAAAAATGGCTAGGAAGTCGAAAATTAAATCTGAATATCTGGAAGCATGAACTAAAGTTAGACCATTACACAAAGGGAGCACCGGGCAAGTTATAGATATAATAATAGTAACATTTATTATCCGGAAAACATGCCAATACATGTATAGGACTTCGTCATACAGGTAAATCAACACTTACAAAGTAACAAAGTCAGAGACAGACTAGCAGCACCTTGTTGGAGAAACGTCTTTAAATTTCTTTTAAAACAGTTAACTGTTTGGCTCTTTTTCTTATAGGTAGGAAACGTACAAAAAATCTTGGGACCCAATATGTTTGGTGACATGCTGCTCATTGTGTATTTAACATAATACGTTTTGCCTTGTACCAAAATTATGTAATTCATTATATGCAATGAACTTGTGCTAATTGGAGAGGGTGTAAAGAGCCATCTCCATTCCAACCGCTAATAATCAATCAATCAATCAATCAATTCTTTATTCATGTCACAATACATAAAATATGTTAACATACGTCAGTAGATCAAATGAGAATTGCATTAGAATTAAAACAAAGGGAGTGCTAATGATCATAAAAAATTACAAACAAGTACACCAGCACTCGTAAAGATATAACGCTAACATAACATATTAAGATTTATAGTTAAAATTTATGTCTTAAAAACCCTTCAAACGTGTAAAATGAGTTATTAATAAGAATTTTCTTGATTTGGACTTTAAAATCTTTAAACGGAAGCGATTTTAAGCCGTCTGGAAGTACATTAAAAAAATTTGACCGCCCAATAACCAGGTCCATCTTGACACCTTCTCAGTCGCCAACAAGGAGGTACTAGATTGTTCTTATGCCTAGTATTGTGCTCATGGACGTCCCCATGAGTTACATAGTTAGAGTTTCTTTTAACGAATAGTAGATTTTCAAAAATATATAAACAAGGCACAGTAAGGATTTCCAACTTGACAAAGGTATCTCTGCAATCGTCCCTGTAGCCCAGACGGCTCACAACTCTAACTGCTCTTCTTTGCAAGGCGAACAAATCATTTATGTAAATTAAAAAAAGAATTGGGCCCAAGATGGAGCTCTGTAAGACCCCAATATTAACACTTCGCTCCGCTGATGTCACTCCATCACATCTCACCACCTGAGTTCTATTATTAAGGTAAGACTCAATTAGTTTAATGGAATCATAACTAAAGTTGTAAGCAAGGAGCTTTTTTAAAAGGATGTCATGGCTCACACAATCAAATGCCTTACTAAGATCGAAGAAAAGAACCGTGTTATACACTCCTCCATGGAAAGCATCAATTATAGAAGAAATCAGGTTAAGTACACCCATAACAGTGCTCTTACCCTGGCGAAAACCAAACTGATATTGTGAAAGCAATTTCATTTGCCTCAAAAAAGGTTACCAGTCTCAAAGCCATACATTTTTCAAAGATCTTAGAGATAACTGGATATAGGTCTGTAGTTCTCTGGTGAATCAACATTGCCGTTCTTAAAAATAGGTGTGACACTAGCTCTCTTTAGAACAGTTGGAAAAATATTTTCTCTAAGACAAATATTAATCAGTCGTGTTAGAGGGATCAAAATTATGTTCTTTATAAATTTTACAATTTTTAAATTGAAACCAAAAATATCTTTACTGTTTTTATTTTTGAGAATATCTATTACATCGCGAACATCGTTAAATGTGACTTCAGAAAAAGAAAACAGAGGTGGCGGTACCAGGAAATCAATATTATTTACATGATCTAAATGTACATCAGGGATGTGATTTACTATATTACCTGCTATGTTACAAAAAAAATTATTAAAGTCATCAGGTGACAGGTCGCTGCTCCCAGGGCACTTATTACTCTTACCTCTTTTTTTGTTAATGATATCTGACACGGTTTTAGCAGGATTACTTGAGCTCTTTACAAGGTTGTCATTAGCATTTATCTTAGCTTTTCTTATTTTATTTCTATATAGATTTTTGTAGTTTTTATAATACTGGTCACTCACAAAACCATACTGCCCTTTCAGCTCTCTCAAAAACCTCAAATGTTCCCTCATTGCCCTTAGTTCGGTATTAAACCAGGAAATATTATTGCCCTGGTCGGATCTTACCACATAAGTTTTCTTTGGAAACGAGTATGTATAGGCTTCTTGAAGAATATCCATGAAGTGGCTAAAGTTTTGTTCACCACTGGTACTATCAACAGTAATGAAATCCCAAGATATCTCCGACAACCTACTGTGTAACATAAACAAACCTCTTTGTGTTACTGGTCTATACATTTTTTTATTTTGAGTAAAACCTCTGGTTTCACAACCAAGAAATTTAACCAGCTGACCTTTATGATCTGATATTCCAATATCACATACCTGAGAGCCACACAGCTCCATCGCACTACTAAGGAAAACATTGTCAAGACAGGAGTCCCCACGAGTTGGTTCAAAGATTGTTCTCTCTAAGCCAAAGCTAGCGAGAAGGTCACACAATTTACTTGTATTAACATCTAATGTGTTGAAACTTACATTGAAATCCCCAGCAAGAATAATTTGCCTATTCGTACTCAATTGTGTTAATATTCCCTCCATTGATTCCAAGAAGGTATCAAAATTCCCTGAAGGAGATCTGTAAATAGTTAAAACATAAACATTCAGACTCTGACAATAAACCACACAGTACTCAATACATTTCTCAATATAAACGGCAGGATTAATACTTATAACACATGAATTAAATTTATTTTTGGTAAAAATTGCAGTTCCTCCACCTGTGAAGTCCTTCCGTTCAGAAGACCCTCTCATCATGTATCCCTGCAAATGGACAACTTCCATTTCTTCTTTGGTCAACCAATGTTCTGTCAGGCACAGTACATCAATGTCGTCATCAACAAGAAAGGCTTCCAACTCATCTATTTTTCTTCTTAGGGATCTCACATTTATATGCAGAATCTTTAATTCCTGCTGTTTAGGGTTTCCTTTACAATATTTTGGCGCTGCAGGTTCCGAAAATGGTTTATTAGGATGCCCCTTGGCCACAGATCCGGACATAAATATTTATCAATGTCATCATGAGGAACAGTAAGTCGAAATGAGCTGCAGTACTTTTCTTTCTTGGTTTTCATTTTATCGCAGGTGTATTCATTAAAGTTGTTTTCTTCCAGAACATTTTTCACGCTTTCGCTAGTAACTTCTGGTGCCAGGCCAGATAAAAACAAAGATGATAATCTGGATGCTGGTCTAAGGCTGCATATATTTACATTGGAGCCTCTCAAAGGTTCAGGTCGACTGGATTTATCAACAGGTCTGTTTCTGACCGAGATTTTATTTTTATTTCGGTTTCTAACCTCTACCTATTTGTCTTCATCTTTCTCAGTCCGAGTAGCGATGGGCTCTGAATTCACGATGACAGGGGAGTTGGGCGCAGGCAGTGCGCCACTGTCGTCAACTGGTTCAGCACTAAGATTTTCCAGAATTACGATTTCGTTGTTTGCAACCGCATTATGGATTTTGCGAGGTTCCTCGTTAGATGTCACTGAATCCGATGGATGTTTGGTATTTTCGTATTGTTGGACCTTTTTATTTAGATAATCAACTCCATCTTCAAGGAAATGCACCTTTCCTCTCAAAAGTTGACTGTTTTCTTCCGCGATTCGATTTTGCTTTGCAGTTCTTTCACCAGCGTTCTTAGAAGATCCAACTCCGTTGAATCTTCACAGAGCAGCATGTTTACACTCTCTCTTCTAACCTTGCTTGATTCGTGCATACAATTGGTATTTTTCAACTCGCCTGCCTGCTCCAGACAAGCAGGATGAAACGAGTTATTACACTTTTTGCACTTCACTACGTTCACAACTTTTTTTTTTACAGTGTAGGCATAGTATGACGTTCTTTTTTTCATTCTTTTTAAGATACGAATTTTCAGACGACCTCTCACTTTCCGCCATCTTTGTCTGATTGAATAAAAAAAAGGCCGTTAAATAGGTTGACTACACTTCCCACGCAACGCCGTTATCGATTCATAAAGGATCATGTTCACAACAAACTTGACCCTCTGAGAAAAAAGTCATTCAAACAGGTCCATAAAATTAGTCCATAGAGATTCTTTCCCGGCCCCATCTGGCAACGTCGCCTCTACCCGATACCTAGTTCAACCAGACGTGGAACTGGTTCAAGAGTATAAGAAACAGTACGCTATGACGCGGCAGTAATACCAGAACACTTACCAGGACAGGCACAACACCGGGAGCAGAAGCAGACGCGGTCGTTAAGTACGCGATCCGTCTGCTGAGACTATTTTTAAGTTTCAAGTATACGGGGTAATTGATGGTGTTTTAAATATGTCTGATTGATGTGTGGAATTACCAAGTTTAGGAGCGTGATATACCCTACCCACAATTTTTACTTGAAACATGAAAAAACGAAGTTTGAGAGTTATTTGTTTCGTTTTTTTTTTGTTTTAGCTGTTCCTCCGCCGACACGAGACCTATTTCCAAAAACTACAAAGCTTTTTCGTCCTAGGAATAATAGTACCTTTTTGTAAAAATTTCATCAAAATCCGAACCGTACTTCTCAAAATATATGCGGAAATAAGTGACGTGCATGTCATATAACATCCAAAAAAAAATCATTTTCAAAAAGTTTGTTATTACAGTGGGCCTGGAAAGTGTAAGATTAGTTTTACGTATTTTGTCAGAATATCATACCATGGATTTTATAATGCTATGGAGGATTAACAAAATGTAAAGCAAGAGAACATTAATTGCTTACTCATAAAACTTGATAAATAAAAGTGGATAAAGACCAGCCGTGTGCGTTGAAAGTCCTTTGCGGAAATACCACGTTTACTTTCATTTAGGCATACTAGTTTTTATTTCCTGTGCCCCAGTCTTCTAAATATTCCACAGAACCACGAGTAAAAAAATGTAGAACAAATGAAGCAAATTATTCACGTATACTTAGAAGTCTCTTTTTTTATGTGCGTGCAGAATATACATAGCTCTCGACATGCATAATGTCTAATATTTACTGAAGCATGAACAATTGGTTATGCTATACAATTTATTTCTTGTCGGTTTAGATTCTTCTTTTTATATCCGCTAGCTACTAATAGAAAATATTATGATATCTGAGATGACACAAATATGCAGTGCGAATACGAAACTACACCGACATCGAAAATACCGGCATATTGAGAGATACAATAAAAGCGATAGCGGTATTAAAGGCTGCAGCATTTTCAAAGGTCTCCTCTTCAAAGTCTAGCTGGCAAGAAAAAAGAGTCACTATAGGGCTCTGACTAATAGCGGAAGATGTCATGATCTAAAAATCAATAGAGTTAATGATACAAAATACTTAGGAATTTATCTAGATCCCCACTTGAGATGGGATGAACATATTTGTTACATACTAAAGAAAATTAGATTTATAGCATATAAAATAAAATTTCTAACCGGTATATTAACTGAATACTATCTACGAATAATATATCAATCTTTAGTCGAGCCGCACATAACATATGGTATAGTAGTATGCGGTGCTGCATGCACGACATACCTTAACAATTTAGATGTGCTTCAAAGAACAATTTTAAAATCAATATTTGGCGAATCAAAATTATACCCAACTAATGACTTATATAATGATGCACAAGTATGTGATACTAAGCAACTTTACTTGTTACATACCATCACTCATTATCACAAAATTATTAGTGAACACGACATAATTAAACATAGTCATAACACCAGATAGAAATCACGCGCAAAAAATGTTCCTTTTTTTATTATTATTCGTTTATTCAAAAACCAATATAACTTACAAATTAAAAACAACCTTCGGTACAATTCAAATAAAAAAAACAGTTTCAAAAATACATGAGCTTGTATGCTCTTGCTACCCTGAATAACTAAGATTGCAACAGAAATCTAAGCAAAGATACTAGCATCAGATTTAGAACAAGCATGTAACGGTATATGATAAAATTGTGAAAATTGTGTATACTTTCGTAAAGGGTAAATGTCTGAATCTTGTCGTCACAAATCCTAAATTACGTGTCTGAATAAACAAATCTAAAATTCATAACAATAGTACAGAAGCATACTAAAGACACTCAGAAGTATAAATATACAGTACATAAAATATGAATATCTGAAATATGATAATATAGGAATATTTCGAGTAAGGTCAAACTATGTTTTTTAAACAATAAAAATTTTGCGTAAAGGTTAAGCAGAGAAACAAGAGTACTACAATTTACTACAAAAGAATAGCCACCTAAGCTATAAGCTTGTGTGTGTCATACAATATACAAATTTAATGCATGGTTAATGGTCATAAAGTATATTAAAAAGATATATAAAAAAAGAAATTAAAAACATTAGACAGAAGCGAAATGACTGAGTTAAGTCAAGCTACAGTCGATCAAAGGTATTTAAGATGAACTTCTTAATTCTTTTTTTGAAACTATACTTTGAGAGGATTTTATATTCTAGGGGTAATTTATTATACAACCTAATTCGATTAAACTTCATGCATATTTGGCAAACAGATTTATTCACTCTGATATAAGTGTAACTTATATTTATTTTAGTTCATGTTTCATAAGCGTGGCTGGTTGGAACATTGTTTCTGGAGTGAACAAATTTCAGAGCAGCAAAAATATATAAACCTCTAATATTCAAAAGATCATTTTCAATGTAAACGAATCTGCAACTTGACCTACATGGGATACGAAAAATAGTCCTGACAATATAATTTTGCGTAGTTTGTAATATGTTTAAAGTACTAGTGTATGCGGCTCCCCATATACTTATCCCGTAAGTTAGTAGAGACCCCACAAACGAGTTATATATTGAGAGAAGATTATTTCTGCTTAAAATATTCCTGAGAATGAAAAACTTATGAATGATGAAGAATTATCCTTAATTTCGATGCCAAAAGCTCGGCGTGACTGCCATTTTAAATTACTGTCAACATTTATTCCTAAGTATCTAATAACTTCAACTCTTTCGACAGCGTCACCACTATCATTTATAATTAATGTTCGGTGGTGTAATGGCATGTCTGCTTTGGTTGGAGAAAATGTCACATACTTAGCTTTAGAGATATTAAGTTTAAGTAATTTGTTATCCAACCAGCATCTGACTTTATTTAATGACAGCTCGGCATTCCGTATGGCGTGATCCCATGAATGACCAGTGCAAACTAAAACAGTATCGTCTGCATACGATATCATTTTACAGTTGAAATTGCATCGAAGTAGTTCATTTATGAATATGAGGAACAGTGTTGGTCCCAAAACCGTCCTCCCGAGGCACACCTATTTTGATCTTTTGAATGCTGCTTAAATATGACCCTACCTTAACTTGTTGTAATCGATCAGCCAAATAGTTCTCAAATAAGTTCAGAACTCCACTACGCACTCCAACACTTTCTAGTTTCTTTAATAAAATTGTATGAGATACTGAATCGAAAGCCTTTTGAAGATCGAGGAAAACTGCAACAGTCTTATTTCCATCTTGAAAGTTTTCATGCACTTCTCCTGTAAGTTCTTGTATAGATTGCCCTGTATTGCAATTTTTGTGGAACCCAAATTGACAGTTCGATATTATGTCATATTTCTCAAGAAACGAACAAAGTCTGTTATTCAAACACTTCTCCAAAATCTTCCCAAAAACATTGATAACTGAAATAGGTCTATAATTGAACATATCATCTTTACTTCCAGATTTAAATATTGGTGTCACTATGCTTTCTTTAACTTGGCGAGGAATTACTGAGGATTTGAAACAGAGGTTGATAACGTGAGTTATAGGGGGACTGATATACTTCATGATCATTTTGATAGTTTTAGTGTGTAAGCCATCTTCTCCGGGTGCGTTATTATTTTTCAGATTACAAACTATTTGCTGTAACTATATGTTATCCACTGGAGTTAGAAACATAGAGTGAGCAATGTTGACGACATGAAGATCTGATGTATCAAGAATTGAGTTTTGATCAATCTAACTTATTATTTGCTCACCTATATCAACAAAATATTTATTACAAACACAGGCTATATCCGTGGGAGCATCCAGCTGCTGATTATTGTGATTAATTGATTTTACGTAATTTGTTTTATTTTGCCAGCATTAGTTACCTCATTAATAACATCCCAGCTTTTCCTATAGTTGTTACCAGCTAAAATGAATCTTTAATGGAACGATGTCACCTGTATTTAGCTCCAAAATTGTACGAGCATTTACCAAATAATTTAAAACAATTACGCAATACATTAGGTTTCAAAAAAAAAATAAAAAAATATATCAACACGATTGGGAGAAATCACATTAATAGAATAATCTCAAATATTAGACAATAAATGCTCTATCATTCTTACCAATAATTTCTTTTTCTCTCTATTTTTTTTATCTTTTGCAATTCAACATACACGTACATATGATCCATGCACAGGCGTTTTCCTCCTATGGATATATTTATTTATTTACTCGTTTCATGTTCCCTGTATTTTAGAGTAAATAAATATTATTATTATTATATATCAATACTTATGGTTTCGATATCATTAGAATCAGCTCACGGTAAGCAACAAAGAAATAACTCAAGCAGTGCAACCATTTCAAAAAGTGCAAGTCAGAATAGATAGTGACGTCATAAAGGTCGTTCCTACTATAACGGAAACTAGTCATAGCAATCCTTGAACTCAAAAAGCTGTTGACGGACACCATGTCAAATGCTATAAAATGAACTCCAATTATAAGTTAGCTCAAAAATTAAAATTGTAAGTCCTCGGGAAACAGGAACATATGTATCATTTCAATACCTACTTGGTGATTACGTGGTTCTTACCATATGCCTAATGTTCATACTTAACACAAACAAGTCAGAAAAAAAGTA